GGGGGGGGGGGGAGGGGGAGGGGGGCGCATTATATTTTTTCGCCTGCTGTTATGCTTCAGTATGTTTTTTTTGCTTTAAAAAAAAACAAAATCAAACTTGACATCCTCTACTTGAACCATCAGTACGTGGCCCAGCTATCGATGCCGAGCCTGGAATGCCCCTGCGGGCCAATTTTTGCCGAAGCGGCCGGCGTACCGTTTCGACTTTTTTTTGGCTGGCGCTTGCAGCCGTTGTGGTCCGGTACCCCAAAAGCCCTAAGGGCGCGGCGTGTTGACGGGGAAGCGGCGCGGCCGATAGCTGGGCCAATTACTGATGGTTTAACCACAGTATGTCTCTCTGCAACGGCAGTGTGTGGTCATGTCATGTCAGGTCTGGTCAGGTCTCTCTGTATGTTGTATGGAGGTTACAATTCCCCCGGAGTACTCCCCGCCGAAGCCTCTTCCCTTTTCTGCCCTTTCCCCTGACCCTCCGCCCCTCCCTCGTCTCTTGCATGCGTGGTCTAGGGGGAATCAATGATCTTTTTCCTTTGTTCTCTGCCTGTTCTTATGCTGCAGTATATATCTTCGCTATGGCGAGCACTACTCAACTGTGACCTCTGTCTTGTTTGAGTTTCGACCTTTCTTTTTTTTTCTTTTCGAAACAAAGCCCCATCTATTTTGGGGGCCATCAGTCCGGTTGCTTATCACCAGCAAGCCAAAGTACATGAGAAGCAGTTGGCAGTTGTGAAGAGGAAAATAAATAGTAGATCAGGTGAGAGTCAGATACAGCCACCCTTGCAGCTGTAGTCGCTTACACAAGGGGGTAGGGCCCGGAGGGGTGCTTTGGCCGCTCTCCCCCCGAACCATGACTCATTTGCAGGGTGCACTTGCTGGCTGGGAAAACGTACTGGCCGCTCACCCAGACACACAGCATGTGGATCCTGTAAATGGTGGGGCGTGGAGTAGAGCCGCCTGGCAAGCTCACCGGCCAGTCAATGTCCAAATTCAAAGTATCTAACTGAATATATGTCCCTACCTTCTACTCGATGATACTATCTCACTCTTTCCTTGCCGTTTGCTTGACATCCAGA